CTGGCTTACTGCATTCTCGCTGAACACACTTAGGCGAGTACTGTCGAATGATACGGAAGCTTAAGTGGCAAGCTTTGATTGCGAACTATACCGTGCAATTAACATGCAATACAGTGCGCTAAAATGTAATACTCACGCATAATCAGCGATAACTCCTGTATAGTGCGTTCGAAGATTCTGAGTAGACTGTTAATCATGTTCGACCCGATGTCAGAAGCAGACTTTCATTTTTTCAGCGGTATTGTGATTAATAATTAAAATTTCAACTACTGCATATTAAAACCATGTTATAAACAATAACGTTTAGCCAAGACGGTTGCGCAATTTTGCAACAGCGTCTTTGCAACGTTCTACGGAATTCCAGACATCAGCGAAATACGGTGAAGGCAAACAAGATTATCTGCAATAACGTAAAAATGGCATGGATTGACACAATAATTTCTGAAATATCTCAAGTACGTAATAACTAACCAAAACTTTGTTAAGAATCCTAAATTGAATAAAACGTCGGGTTCTCTTGTCATTGGAGCTGTGATCAGATCCTTCTCCCTCTAAATATTATAAGCTCTTCGCATGTTGCACCATTGTCAGTGTAGTTAATCTATAGGTGAAATTCTGAGTTTAAGAACGATTTTTTGTTTCCTCAACCACTAGGTCGTTTTATGTCACTTTTCTTGTAAGTCAGTTGTTCTTCGACGAGTGGCTGCAAATCAACAGATAGTTTTCATTATTTCGGCTATCGGCCAGCAGTAACAACGAACGTAGCGACAGAAGCTTCATTCAATGATGACACCTACTGACCTTATGAAAGAATGATTGCATATTTGCCCCTTAAATACCAGACCCTTTATCTGCAGTGATATTAGGTAAAGCGATCAGGGTGAAAGGGACCTCAACGAAGAAGAAGATCTTATAACAATTAACTTGTTCTCTGAAGTGCTGATAAATAGCTTTAAAGAGTAGTATTCGAGAGTGAACCGCAATCAAATGCAACGTATGACTTTGCGTGGAAGTGCCTGTAAGACTAATCAAGGACACTATGTTTCCTTAAGAAGTTCCAACAGAACGAGCACTGGCTTAAAATTATAAATCATAAATAACGTTTTGAAATAAATTATATCTCCAGACTGAACAGTCGCAACCGCCATAGCTTTGGTACCTTTCACGGGTACTTTGAGCAAGAAACGCGAAGCAGCTAACATTTGTTCAGCCAACCGGCCAAAGGATCCGTCCAAAATAATTTGGACACGTTTTTCGACGGATTCCGCTATTAACTCTTACACTGTTATATACTGACACTAAGCTGGAAACATTAGTGACACTCTGAAATTGTTACTGCAGCTACCATAACGGATAAGCGGCCGTCG